AGTGAGAGATCTAGAAACATCAATCAGATGCCTTTTGTACGTACCATGACCAGGAATCAAACCTGTAACGTAGGAATGTGTCCTGACTTGGAATCATACCTGGAACCCTTGGTATATGGGACAACACTCCAACCAACTGATCTATCCTGCCAGGGCAATTGATTTTGCTTTTTTAAAAATGCAATGTAAGATGAAAAAATTATGCAGACCTTAGTTTCCTTCCTCACATGTGAAATCAAAGATGGCTTATATTATGTCTTTGGTTAGTCTGATTCTATATATTGAAAGACTTAAAGGAAAGCTCACTAAACTTATATGCTTTGAACTAATATTCCTGAAAAGTAAAGTAACACATACTTTAAGATTATAAATGATGAGATGTTGAACTTCTTAAAAAAGCAGCAAGTACTGATTGGTTTTGTTAATCAACATCTGGTTTAATAACAAGTCCCTTCCAAATTTGGTGATGGGTAATAAATAAATAAATAAATAAATAAATAAATAAATAAATAAATTTTATAAAGGTAAATGGTAGTGACTTCCTGCTGGGGTGGTCTCTTTACTTTGTTAAATTTCTGACCGAGAAACCTCCACAAAATATATTCATTACTTAATCTTACCTGAATGAGTATAACCATGGCTAAAAGCAACTTTTCACAGATGATTTCTTTCTTGCCTTGCTGAGGTATTTGCCACTTTTGCAAGCTGGAGTCATAAATCTTTCCAATCTCGAAGATAATTCTCCTCTAGAATGTCACCCTGCTGATCTCTCTGAGGATTAAATGCTGCTTCACAATATCAGTTAGATAAAACGAGACTGACTCTTCTTTTAAAAACCATTCTACTTGCAAGTCATGATGTCTGTCAAATAGGACAGGTGGAGCCTAGATGCAGCAGACTGTTTCCAGAAGTAATAAAGCACTTTGTGGGATTGCCCTTTCAATTATTGCCTGGCGAGCAATGGCTAAAAATAGCAGATAGGACCCCAGAGTTCAAAGATCCACACTGAATTTTGGTGGTGAAAACTGGTCTTAGGCTCATTGTTTTATTTAAAAAAAATGAAGTTTTTCTATTCATGTCTACTTTCTCTCTGGCATGTAAAAAAAAGGTAGAATTGTGCAAGTCATCCCTAAAGTGATTTAATATAGACTTCTGCTTTAGACCTAAATTGACAAAACATTTCATATTCTCCACAAGTTGTGCTGTCAGTTTCTGGAAAACTCCCCATTGCTTGTAATAAAATTCACAACTAACTCTTTTAATAGAACCATAACTAATAAATGGCAAAATGCTTTAATTTAGAAAGCCCAAAGTTATTTGGACTAGTTTTCTAATTAAGTTATCAATGACATTTAACAAAACCATTTACTCCTTTGTTCTTTTTCAATGAACAAATTCTAAAACTACGTAATATTGGCCCTGGCTGGGTAGCTCAGTTGGTTAGAGCATTGTCCCCATATGCTAAGGTTTTGGGTTCAATCCCTGGTCAGGGCACATACAAGAAGCAATCAATGAATGCATAAATAAGTGGGAAAATACACTGATGTCTCTCTCTCTCTCACTCAAATCAATACATTTTTTAAAAATTTAAAAAAGAAAGCTAAGCCCTTGCTAAAAGAGCAAATGTTTATGAATATAGCAGTGAATAAAAAAAATATACATTTATCAAGTGACTTTCCATGTGCCAAGCTCTAAACTAAGTGCTTTCATTGAGTAGCTCATGTGTTGATGGCCTACTACTTTGCACCTGTGGTATTTCCAATTTAATTTTATTAAATTCCCATTGTGGGGGATGGGGAGGGAGAATCCTCAAATTTTCTCAATGCACTGAGCTATACCATCCAAGACCAAAAAGTAATTTGAAGGAAGGGAACCTGGCTTTCTTACAGCCCACCTGTGTGACCTGGGACAACTTAGTCAACTTCCTGAGGCTCAGTTTGGAGATAGGAACAATGGCTACATCTCTCTGGGTGATTGGGATTAAATCAGCTATAGCATTTTAAGTGCTAAGTACAGTGCCTAGCATACAGTAAGCAATCACTTAACATTAATGATTACTTTTATTACTTGAATAATTTTTTAAAGTTTCTATATGTATTTACCTGAATCTTTTATGAAATTTAATTAGACTTAATTGCATATTGACATAAATAATGGCAGGTTGAAAACAAATAGAGAACTGCATTATTATACATTTAAAACCAATCCATCTGCTTCATGTAGTTTCATCTGTTTCACACTTCAATTAACACTTGGATTTATTGGGCTTTATCTAGCATTTGCTGAATATTTAAGAAATATTCATAAATTTATAACATTTTGAGTGATTGGAGATAATGCATGTATATCTAAAAAGTTTATCTGAAAAACTGTATTAGTAATATGTAAGAAGCTAATGAATCATTCACTAACTCATTTAACAAATATTTTTGAGAAGTTCCTATAAATAAGGTAGTTTGCTGGGCACTGACAGACAAATAATGAAATAAAACTTTTTCTGTTAGGTTATTTTAAAACTTATTTTTCTTTAGTATAAAGTAGGCCTCATAAATTCTCTATATTCTATGAATAAATGTGTTTCAATGTTGGTAACACAACTAACAACCTATTCACATATACCAAAGCTTCACATTTTTAAAATTTCTGGTGTCTTTGAGGATGAGTAAACTGAAGGTTAGTGCTATACAAGTAAATTTAGAGAACATCAATTGGCAAAAGGGAATTAAAAAAGACAAGAGTTATGTATGCCTAGGGTTGTCTTTTAAAAAGATCATATTTGTTGATAATTTCTAAAAGTGAATGATCTAGGGTATTTATGGGAATAGAGACTTTATCCATTAAAAAAGAAACATTTAAATCTGTGTTAACATATGATTATACTATACTTCCTTTTCATATATTTGTCTACAATCTACCGACTGCTTACATAAATGACTTCTAGTATCAATGTACCATGTGACAAATTCACATCTACATGTTTAGTAAATAACATGTGATAAAAATCTAAATATAAAATTTTTTATTCTATTTGATATACTTTTCAAAACAAACATTATGTGCTTGGACACAAATGCTTTAAGGAAAGTGTTTGGAACAGTGAAACAGGCTTGCATTTAAAACGTAGCCAATATAATAAAAGGCATCCTTCAGGCATGCCCTGGCTGGTGTGACTTAGTGGACTGAGCACCAGCCTGTGAACCAAAGAGTCACTGGTTTGATTCCCAGTCAGGGCACATGCCTGTGTTGCAGGCTGGGTCCCCAGGTGGGGGCATGTGAGAGGCAACCACACATTGATGTTCCTCTCCCTCTTTCTCCCTTCCCCTCTGTCTAAAGACAAATAAATTAAATCCTTAAAAAAAAAAAAAAGATATCCTTCAGGCAAATATCTGAATTTCAGAGTCAGGTACGAGAGAAATTACAACTGCTGCTATAACAAAGAACGGTCTTTCTGGATTGTAAAATTACTTTTTAAAAAGATAAATAAACAATATCTATTATTTTAAGTTCAATTTTGGAAAACAATACATTTATTCTTCATACTTTTTATTAGATTCCTTTGAGGATGTTAAACATTAAAACAATGTAATAGCCCTGGCTGTTGTGGCTCAGTTGGTTGGGCATCACTCCACAAACTGAAATGCCTCAGGTTCATTTCCTGGTTACATGCCTAGGGCACATGCCTAGTTTGCTGGTTCGGTTCCCAGTCAGGGCTCATAGGAAAGGCAGCCAATCGATGTTTCTCTCTCACGTCATTGTTTATCTGCCTTTCTTTCTCCCTCCTTTCCCCCCTTCTCTAAAATCAATAAGCATGTGTCAGGTGAGGTTTAAAAAAAAAACCTAATAAATTATATATAAAAAACACATCCAACAATAAATTAGATTCTCAAGTAGATTAGGATATAAGATTAAGTAGGATATAGAATATAAGGATATAAATGTAATTATTACATTCATAATATCTACTACATTGTTAGTGTAGTAAAAGCCTTTTGAGATCATTTGTTTGGTTATTTTACTAACAATATGAAACGCAAGGCAGTTCACCTAGGATAAGCAGAGCACAACAGAGTGAGACTGTTCCTACAGTAAGACCCAGAAAGAAGATGTGAAGATGCTATACTGAATGCCAGACATGCCAATCCAAAACCACTCCCAATTCCCTTGCAATGATACACCCAGTCTGCTGTTATTACCAAAAGTCTGTGTAGGTACTGGCACATCTGTAACCATGCAAAACCACAAACCTCATTATTTTAATAAGCAATCTCATAACTAAATCCTACTTGTAGGAGTTAAACAATAGTTTTCAGAGGAACTGCAGAAAAAGCCAACTGTTTTGGTAAGACCCTAAATCTGGAAAATAGTATCAGCAATCTACTGTATGACAGCTTATTTATTATGGTTAACAGTGGTGAAAATGTGAACTAACAATAGGAATGGCTCATTTTTACATTTCTGTAATGCAATTAAAAATAAGAAAATAATTATAATAGACAGACAGCATTAAGCATCACAGAAAATCACAGATTCTATAATAAACATGTCAAATTACCAAATCAATAAACAATTCACATGATTCTTCCCTACAATCGAACAATTTTAACTTGACTTTTATGGTTTATCTGTTTTAATCCTGACTACAATGTGTATACACCTTGTAGAGAAAAACATCATTGGGTATGCCTAAAAAAATTTTCAAGGCTCACTGATTTCTATATAGTTTTACAATGATAATGTCCCAAAGCAGCTAAAATTACTTGATGAGATAAATGCACATGTGGAGCTTAATGTCAAGCAACAGTCTATCTGGCATCAGTAATCAAACAATTACGAAATGGAAAGTACATTTTGTACAAGCTGACAGATCCATTAAATCAGGAGAGTTGTGGGCAGACGTACTGACACTGCAAGAATGACCAGAAAACATTAATTTCAGCATTAATAAAATGACAGTAAATAGATGAGAGCTGCCAGATGAACTAAGAAATAAGGTTACTGGCCTTATTAAGCTCACGTCTGATTTTTTCAGGCACAAACTGGTCGAGGTAGCGTCTGAAGTGAAGGGCATCAATGGCAACAATTTCAGTGCTGCGCCGCTGCCAGCTGTCCCTGGGGCACAGAAGAGGAGGGAAAGATAAGGAATGGGAAAGGCATTCACAAAGTAAAACCCTCACATGTTACTGAGACTTTAGTAGGGTTAAAATATTAAAAATAAACCCACAGATATAGGTCTCAGAAAAACAGGAAGGCAGAAAACACTATCTTATTTTAGATCCAAGGCATACATATTGTCAACTGCCAGGCAAACAAAATAAAAAATTATGGAGAGACAACAAATGACATACTGTAAAGGGGTACATCATTTACAGTGAGTTTCAGAGGTTAAAGGATTAGGGGGCAAACAAAAGGAACTTAGGTCTTTGTTTTCCTCTAATACTAAAGACATGGCATTTGTATTTTGACCAGAGATCATTCCCTCTTTGTTTTGAAAGATTTGTTCTCAGGTCACTGGGTATGTAACATCACCATATAGTTACCCAAGAAATAATTCCAAGAAGTCAAGTGTTACAAAAATGTGTAATGACTCAGACAACATTTCTACCTACTGTGCTCAACTGTTGACTGTGAAATTATTTTCAAAAAGAAAGACAGTAAAGCAAACACAACACAAAGCACACAAAAAAACACACTGACTATGGAAACAGAAAGGACTGGGTGAGATGATGATTTTGAAAATGTGAAATTCCAAATACTTCATTTCTTATAAACTTGCATATATTGATATGCCAAGCAACTTTCCACCCTGAAAAATAGCAATAAAAACCTTCAGGTTACTCTGTAAATAATTAATCATGAATTAAAAATCCACGTAGATAACCGCTAAAAACATATATTTTATTGATTATGCTATTACAGTTGTCCCATTTTCCCCCTTCACTCTCCTCCACCCTGCACACCCTCTCCCACCCACATCCCCCTGCTTTAGTTCATGTCCATGTGTCATACTGATAAGTTCTTTAGCTTCTACATTTCCCATACTATTCTTGCCCTCCCCCTGTCTATTTTCTACCTACCATCTATGCTACTTATTCTCTGTACTTTCCCCCCACCCTCCTCCTCCCACTCCCCTGTTGCCAACCCTCCATTGTGGAGGAATCCTGATATCTGATATCAAACTAGAGCACAAGGCCACAGTAAGTAAAACAGCATGGTACTGGCGTGCTTGCCCTTCAAATATGATATCCATTTCTGTGGTTCTGTTCCTGTTTTAGTTGTTTGCTTAGTCTGTTTTTGTTTTAGGTGTGGTTGTTAATAATCATGAGCTTGCTGTCATTAAAAACATATATTTTAATGAAAACAAAGGAAAAGAGAACAGGGGCTGGTCTGAGATATTACAAAGAGTAAGTTTGTAGGGCTACATGAGCAATAGCTGATTCTTTCTGCCACAACAGCTCTATTTTTTTGAACTGCTTAATCCTGTCACTTTTTTACCCAGCCCCGTAACGCTTATGCCCTTTGGTAATTGTCAATCTTTTCTCTAAATATGATTTGGTTCCAATTTTGTTTGTCAGTTTATTTGCTTGTTAGATTCCACAAATAAGTGAGATCATATGGTATTTATTTTCCCCTGATGGGCTTATCTCATTTAGCATAATACTCTCCAGGTCCATCCATGGTTTTGCAAAAGGTAAGATTTCCTTCTTTTTTACAGCCAAGTAGTACTCCATTATGTAAATGTACCACAGCTTTTTTATCTACTCATCTACTGATGGGCACCTGTGCTGCTTCCACATCTTGGCTATTGTAAATAATGCTGCAATAAACATAAGGGTATATACATTCTTTTGAATTAGTGTTCAGGCTTCTTCAGATATAGTCCCAGAAGTGAAATGACTGAGTCATAAGGCAGCAGTTCCATTTTTAATTTTTGTGGTAACTCCATACTGTTTTCCACAGTGGCTGCACCAATCAGCATTCCCACCAACAGTACACAAAGGTTCCCTTACTCCACATCTTTGCCAACACTTCTTCTTTGGTTTATTGATGATCGCCATTCTGACAGGTGTGAGGTGATATCTCCTTGTGGTTTTAATTTGCATTTCTCTGGTGACTAGTGGTGTTGAGCATGTGCCAACATCACTGATGATGATGGCCTTTGGCCATCTGAATGTTCTCTTTGGAGAAGAGTCTATTCAGGTCCTTTGTTCATACTTCAATTGGATTGTTTGGTTTTTTGGTGTAGAGTTGTATGAGTTCTTTATAAATTTAGGGTATTAACCCCTTATCAGATATATTGATGAATATGTTCTCCCATTCAGTGGGTTGTCCTTTCAACTTGTTGATGTTTCCTTTGCTGTACAATACTTTTTAGTTTGATGCAGCCCTGTTTGTTAATTTTTTCTTTTGCTTCCCTTGTCCAAGGAGATATATTAGAAAATACTGCTGTGAGCAATGTCTGAGCTTTTGCTGCCTATATTTTCAGCTAAGATTGTTATGATTTCAAATCTGACATTTAAGTCTTTAATCATTTTAAGTTTATTCTTGTGTATGGTCTAAGAAGATGTTCTAGTTTCATATTTTACACATACCTATCCAATTTTTCCAACACCATTTATTGAATAGGCTATCTTGACACAATTGCATGTTTTTGCCTCCTTAGTCAAATATTAATTGATCATATAGGCATAAGTTTATTTCTGGGCTCTCTAATCTGTTCCACTGATCTATGTGTCTGTTTTTATGCCAGTACTATGTTGTTTTACTTACTACGGCCTTGTACTATAGTTTGACATCAGGTATCAGGATTCCTCCAACTTTGTTTTTCTTTCTCAAGATTGATGAGGCTGTTCAGGGTCTTCTTTGGTTCCACATACAGTTTTAGAATATTTGTTCTAGTTCTGTTAAATATGCTATTGGTATCTTGAATAGGAATTGTGCTGAATCTATAGATTGCCTTGAGTAGTATGGGCATTTTAATAATGTCAATTCTTCCCATCTATGAACACAGTATATACTTCCACTTATTTGTATCTTCTTCAATTTCTTTCTTCAGAGTCTTATAATTTTCCAAGTACAGGTCTTTTACCTCCATTGTTAAATTTATTCCTAGGTATTTTATTCTTTTTGAAACAATTGTGAATGGGATAGTTATCTTAGTTTCCCTTTCTGATAGTTCACTGTTGGCATATAAAAATGCAGTGGATTTCGGGATATTAATTTTGTAACCTGCTACTTTGCTGAATTCATTTATCAATTCTAGTTGTTTCTTGGTGGACTCTTTGGGGTTCTCTATGTACAGTATCATGTCATCTGCAAATAAATGCATTTTACTTCTTCTTTTCCAATTTGGATGCCTTTTATTTCTTTTCCTTGTCTGATTGCTGTGGCTAGGACTTACAGTACTATGCTACATAAGAGTGGTGAAAGCAGACATCCCTATCTTGTTCCCAATCTTAAGGGAAATGCTTGTAGTTTTTGCTCATTGAGTGTGATTCAGGCAGTGAGTTTGTCATACACAGTCTTTATTATGTTGAGGTATGTTCCTTCTATTCTCAGTTCTCTGGCAGTTTTTATCATCAATGGGTGCTGCATTTGATCAAATGTTTTTCTGCATTTATTGATGTGACCATGTGGTTTTTATCTTTCATTTTGTCTATGTGGTGTGTCACATTTATTGACTTTTGGACATTGTGCCAACCTTGCATCCTCAGAATAAATCCCACTTGATCATGGTGTATGATCTATTTAATGTATTCCTGAAGTCGGTTTGCCAATATTTTGTTGAGGATTTTAGCATCCCTATGTTCATCAGGATGTTGGCCTATAATTTTCTTTCTTTGCAGTGCTTGTGTGCATTTTTGGAGTTAGGATAAAGCTGGCCTTGTAAAATGAGTTTGAAGTCTTCTCTTAAATATTTTGGAATAGTTTGAGGACAAGTGTTAATTCTTTGAATATTTGGTAAAATTCACCTGAAGCCATCTGGTCTAGGACTTTTGTTGATTCGAGGTGGTTTTTTTGTTTTGTTTTTTTTTTGAGTACTGCTGAGTTTCACTATTGTAATCTATCTATTGAGATTCTCTGATTCTTTCTGACTTAGTTTTAGAAGACTGTATATTTCTAGAAATTTTTACACTTCATCCAGATTGTCCAATTATTGGCATGTAGGTGTTCATGATATTTTTTTAGAATCTTTTGTATTTCTTTGGTGCCAACTGTTACTTCTTCTCTTTTCTTTCTGATATTTGGAAGGTCCTCTCTCTTTTTTTTATTTGGTCCTCTCTCTTTTTTTCTCAATGAGTCTGGTTAAAGGTTTGGCAATCTTGTTTATCTTTTCAAAGTACCAGTTCTTGAATTCACTGATCTTTGTATCATCTTTTTAGACTCTATTTCTTCTCTGACCTTCCTTATTTCCTTTCTTCTTCTCATTTTGAGCTTTGTTTGTTGTTCTTTTCCAAGTTCCTTTAAGTGTAAAGTTAGATTGTTTGAAATTTTTCTTATTTCTTGATGTAGGCCTGTAATGCTATCAATTTCCCTCTTAGGACTGTTTTTGCAGTGCCCCATAGATTGTGGTGTTGTGTTCTTATTTTGATTTCTTCCTTGATCTCATTGTTGTTCCATTCACTGTTTAGTAACATGTTATTTTACCTTGATGTCTTTGTTTTTCAGTTTCTCTTATGATTTATTTCTAGTTTCATACCATTATGATCAGAGAAGATGCTTGATATGATTTATTTCAATCTTCTTAAATTTACTGAGACTTTTTTTGTGTCCTAACATGTGTCCAATCCTAGAAGGTATTTCATGTGCACTTGAAAAGAATGTATATTCTGCTGCTTTGGGATGAAATGCTCTGAAGATATCAATTAAATCCATCTAATCTAGTGTGTTATTTAAGGCCTGTTTCCTTGCTGATTTCCTGTCTGAGGTGTTAAATCATCTACTATGAGTGTATTACTATCAATCTCTCACTATATGTCCATGAAGATTTGCTTTACATATATAGGCATTCCTATGTTGGGTGCATAAATGTTTATAAGGGTTGTATCTGCTTGTTGGAGTGCTCCTCTTATCATTATGTAGTGTCCTTTGTCTCTTATTAAAGTCTATTTTTTCAGATATTACATATTGTTACCTGAACTTTTTTTTACCTTTCCATTTGCATGAAATATCTCTTTCCATTTCCTTACTTTTAGTCTGTGTGTACCTTTTGCTCTGAGGTTGGTCTCTTGTAGACAGTATATATATGGGTCTGGTTTCCTTACTTATTCTGCTACCCTATGTGTTTTGATTAAATCATTTGAACCCACAATGGCTTTTCCATTAGAAGCCTTCACTTTCCATTCCCATAAAAATTTACTTGTGTTAGATCAATTTAGTGGGGAAGCAAGAATATGTAAAAATATATTTCAATAAAAAACAGAAGACAGCATCAGCAAAGCTCATTGTAATTTCTCCTGTCAGTTGAAACATGACATTAAGCAAACTATCTGAACAGAGGTTTCTTCAACTTACCTAATCTCCCAGAAGAGTTAAAGATAACTAATTATGGCATTTAAGGGCTTTAAGCTATAACTATAATCTAATCTAAGTTTGGCATTTACTGAAATGATAATACTGTTGTAACTACTAATGAACCTGTAATAAATTTTAAAAGAAATTTAAATTTCCCCTGGCTGGCGTAGCTCAGTGGATTGAGTGGGGGCTAGGAACCAAAGTGTCCCAGGTTCGATTCCCAGCTAGGGTACATTCCTGGGTTGCAGGCCATAAACCCCAGCAACCGCACATTGATTTCTCTCTCTCTCTCTCTCTCTCTCTCTCTCTCCCCCTCCCCCTCCCTTCCCTCCCTAAAAATAAATAAATAAAATCTTAAAAAAAAAAAAAAGAAATTTAAATTTCTAAAATAAAAATAGATGGGAGACAGAATGCACAAGGCCACATTCCCTGGCTTTTGGCTATGCAATAGTACAATCAGAAGTGAACTCGCCTTTTACTCCCATCTTCATGGCTTCGGGCCCAACGGTATGTTTCAGCATAGCCTGTGTATTCACTGTACTGTTCAGTACCTGAAACAAATAATCTGCCAATATTATTTTTCAGAAATATTTTCTTAAAAGCTACTCCTTCTAAAAAAAAAAGAAGAAGAAAAACCATTGGTGTTCATGACTTGCATTTCCTATAAAGAAAAAAAATGTGTCTCCAGAAGCCACCACAATGTTTATCATACAGTGACTTAAATGTCTCAATCAACATAGAAAACAAAATATGCTTTAAAATTAATTTCCTTCTTTTATGAGGAGTGCATAAAGACTGTGTTTTACAGAAGTCCACTGTTTTCAATGTCAGTGATCTGATAATATTAAGTTTGTATTGTTGAGAAATTAAATTTTACATAAAGATATTCCTTGCTGCAAGTGTCATTAAAATTAAACCTAGGATTTCCCTATCAATAGGCAAGACATTTCAAAAAAACTTTATAAAACTAGGATATTATGGCATGAGAAGAAAGGGAAGGGAAAAAGGCATAATTAATATTAACCTGATGAGAACATGCATCAACCTTACCACATCCACATAACATAGATTTTTAACTCATTGTACTTGAACATATCAGGAGAAAGGGTGTCAAACTGTTCCACTATTTAACTAAATAAACCCATTCCAATCCTGTGGTCAACTCAGTAATCACTTGACTTTTGAAAAATTAAGTAAAAATGAAGAGCTGTAAACTCTGAGCAAAATAATATGTTTGCATATAAAAAAGAAAAAAGTGGAATTAGACAACTCTGATAACTAAGATTAATGATTTATTTTAGTACAATTGCCCTAATTTTGCAAGGACACTGACTCATTTTGGCAGCTGAACTACTACTTGTTAACAAATGATTACTCCTGTAATAAAGGTCCAATATTAATATATATTTATCACAAAGACAATATTCAGGAAAAACATGAATATGCAGTGTTTGAGAAAATACAAAAATATAAAATAGAGAAATATTTAATAAAAAATAAAAAGAACACAAAATCACATCATGACATGCTAATTATGAACGGTCATCTCTTTATCCAAAACTAAATTAATTTCATTTTGGGAGTTGTGGTAAGTTCTTACATGCTTACTTAAACAACTCTGAATCGTTTTTAAAAATTCTTGCTGAAGGATACATTTATTGATTTTAGAGAGGTAGGGAGAGAGGAAGAAAGACAGAGAGAGAGAGAGAGAGAGAGAGAGACATTAATGTGAGAGAGAAATATCAACTGGTTGCCTCCTGTACATGCCCTCACCAGGGATGAAACTTGCAACCTAGATATATACACTGACCAGGAATCAACCCTGAAAACTTTTGGTGTATAGGATAATACTCCAACTAACTAGACCACCTGACCAGAGCACAACTCTGAATCTTTTATACACAAAGAATAATAAATGTAGTGATCAAGATTACAAATGGCCTGTACATATAGAAAACAGAGGACCATATTAAATGTCACCATGAAGATGAAATCAGCAAAATTCAGACAATGACAAACTCTATGAATATACAGTATGGAATGCTTATAAAAAAAAAAGACTAAGGAACTGCCAGGGGGTGGAAATGGGAGGGAGGTGAGGAGGGATGGCTGGGTTGGCTGGGATGGGAGTAATGGACAGAAAATTGTACTTGAACAATGATTAAAATAAAATTTAAAAAATACAAAATAAAAAATAAAAAAGTAAGGGAAGAAAAAGAGGGAAAAACCTATAAATTAAAAGAAACAAACATGAAAACAATAATCATAAGAAAGTGGGCATAGTTATATTAATATTGGATAAAACTGACTTCAACTAAAAGAGTATTGTGAAAGATAAAGTGGAACAGCTAATGATAAAAGTGTTAATTCATCAGAAGGACATAAGAAATATGCTTTATTTTGGTTTAACATTTGAAAAATCAATGAATGTAATTCATCATATTAACGGGTTAAAAAATCACACATAATCACGTCAGAAGTTGGAGAAAAAATAAAATTGAACACCCATAGATTATTAAAACTCAGCAAAACTGAGAATAAAGAAAAACTTCCTCAATATGACTAAGGATCATTAAATAAAACCTTACAACTAACTTCATATTCAATGGTGAAAATATTTCATCTAAGGACCTCTGGTCAAGAGAGAAGTGTAGGTAGACACTTCACACCTCCTCGCACAACCAAGAAAGAATTACAACTAGATCTTTAAACAAATAGCATCCAAAACCATTAGAAAATCGAGCTTTATGGAAGTCTGACAGCCAAGGATTTAAAGAAGCCACATTCATCCAGATTCATAGGAGGGATGGAGTTTCAGAGATGGGCAGAGAGGTGTGGAGACATGGAGTGGCAAGGGAAGGCAGTAGTAGAATGGACGATCGATCCTACATTCACGTATGTTGGATAAAAATCGGGAGAGATACCTTGGGAGCAAACAATCCCAACATCAGGTAAGACTCCACAGCTCAGGTTTCCAGCACCAGGAACATAAATCCCCATAACTTCTGGCTGTAATAACCAGTAGGGTTTGGGACAGTAGAAGAAACTGCCTGATTTTCAGGAGACACAGCTTAAAAGGCCTCCATGGACTTAGAACATATGCAAACCAACTCACTCTGGGATTCACTCCCAGAGCAAAAGATGGAAGGGTGCCAGTTGCATACAGGAGTGGGTGAAATCACTGGAAAATGGGCAAGGACAGGACAAACCTCCTGAAGCTATGGCAGTGGCACTGTCCCATCTAAGAGCCTCTCTCCCACAGAGAGCCATAAAGCAGTGAAGTGGGTTAGCTCCACCCTACACAATTTATAGGTGCCTTTTCTATAATAGTCCATGCTACCAATACAGGGAGTCAAAGCAGCTCCACCTAATACACAGAAACAAACACAGGGAGGATGCCAAATTGGGGAGACATAGAAATATGGCCCAAATGAAACAACAGAAAAAGAAAAACAGAAAAGGAACCAAACAAAATGGAGATAACCAACTTATCAGATGCAGCATTCAAAACACTGGTGAGCAAGATGCTCAAGGAACTCACTGAGTATGTCAATAGCATAAAAGAAGAAATGAAGGTTATCTTATGTGAAATAAAGAAAAATCTACAGGGAACCAAAGTGAAGGGCAAGAAACTGGGATTCAAATTAACAATTTGGAATATAAGGACAAAATAAGCATTCGGCCAGAAAGTAAAACGAAAAAAGAATTTTTAAAAAATGAAGGGAGTATAAAAACCCTTTGGGACATCTCCAAACGTACAAATATCTGAAATCATAGGGATGCCAGAGTGAGAAGAGGAAAAGCAAGAAACTGAAAACTTAACTTCAAAAAATAATAAAAGAAAACTTCCCTAATTTGGCAAAGGAAATAGATACACAAGTCCAGGAAGCACAGACAATCCCAAACAAGTTGGACCCAAAGAGGACCACACTAAGCATCATTACTAAAATGCCAAAAGTTACAGATAAAGAGAGAATCTTAAAAGAAGCAAGAGAAAAACAGAGAGTTACCCACAAAGGAGTTCCCATAGATTATCAGCTGATTTCTCAAAAGAAACTGCAGGTTAGAAGGGCCTGGCAAGAAGTATTCAAAGTGATGAAAAACAAGGGCCTACAACTTAGATTACTGCTCTATCCAGCAAAGCTATCATTTAGAATGAAAGGGCAGATAAAGTGCTTCCCAAAGAAGGTCAAGTTAAAGGAATTCATCATCACCAAGCAATTATTACATGTAATGTTAAAGAGGCTTATTTAACAAAAAGAAGACCAAAACTGTGAACACTAAAATGGCAACAAATTTGTACAATTATCAACAACTGAATCTAAAAAAACAACTAAGCAAATAAGCAGAATAGGAACAGACTCATAGATATGGAGACCATTTGGAGAGTTATCATCTGGGAAGCAGAAGGGAGAAAATGGGGGCAAAGGTGCATGGATTAAGAAGCATAATTGGTGGGTACAAAATAGACAGGGTAATGATAAGAATAGTCTAGGAAATGGAGAAGCCAAAGAATTTATATGCACGACCCATGGACATGAAATAAAGGGGAGATTGCTGGAGGGAAGGGGCATACTGGGCAAAAGAAAGCAAAGGGAGGGAAACTGGGAAAACTGTAATAAGATAATCAATAAAATATATTAAAAAAACATTCCACAGTAAGATGTCTTAAAAAACAAAATTTGACTGAGTAAATTTTAAGGACCTTATTGGCTTTACTCAGAGATTCATGATTCAGGAAGGATCCAATCTCGGAGATAAAAAAGAGCTCTAAAGACCTGTAAATAACAAAAGACTTTTATAGGAAAAAGAAAGTAGGACAAGGAAGTTATAAAAGCAAGCAGCAGGTTGTTTCAGGCAAGGTCACCTTCTTTACAGAAAGGCAGGGGTCCATCAGGCAGATCATCTCACTAGTGATGACACAGTAAATTCCAGAAGGACTAGTTTAAGATTCTACTCCTGGGGGAGGCAAAAAAATGTAACTAAGGCTTGGCTTTGTGATGTGAGTTTAGCACAGTGACTCTATTTTGGGCTTTTTGTCTCAATTTTGACAAATCAAGGCATGGATTACAACTCTCACCACTTCCATTCAATACTATAGTGAAGGGGCTAGCCATTGCAATAAGGCAAGAAAATAAATAAAACTAAAAAGAATGTAAAAACATATGACTCTTGCTATTTGCAGATGTCATGACTGTTTATGTACCGGAAAAGAGGATAGGTGGGGGAAAGAGAGGGGAAGGGAAAAAACAAAACCGCTCAAATAAATTTAGTAAGATCAAAGGTATATCTATATACCAGCAGCAAACTGAGAAAATAAAACATTTTAAAAATCTATTAATCTTGCAGAGGTCATGGTCAAAAAAATTATAGTGTAGGTCGCATGTATCCAAGAGATAAATTCATTACTAGTATGTGTGGAAATGTGAAAAAGAATTAAAAACACTATAAACTTACATTTATTATATTTATTTCCTCGGGTAAGGGAAGCAAAAGAAAAAATTAACAAACAGGGCTGCATCAAACTAAAAAATATTGTACAGCAAAGGAA